GATAGAAACATGCCTTGGCAATAGATTGGATATGTGGGACAGTATCAAACTGTCTAAATGAAAGGATACAGTCTTCCTTTCTGTTGAGGATTCAGAAGCAGGCTATATGGTGAATGTTCTCCTTGAGCCTTGTTTCAATGTATTTGTTGCATCACAACAAAATAAAATACATCAATAACTTTTTTTGAATCAGCTTTGGAAAAGGGAAGTGATAATTTGTGTGAAGTGGACATGACAGGTGAAAATACCTAACAGAACTTCTTTCACCTACCACTGAAATTAAGTGCCCTTTGGGTTACTGTGTATTTTGGCTACAGTCTGGCAATCATTCATACTTTTAGGGTTGATGATATTTTGGAGATGTGGGATGGTGTAGTGGATAAGAACAGAGGTTGTGGAGTCTGGATAGACCTTGGTTCAAATCCTGACTTAGCAATTTGCCAGCTACAGTCCTCAGAAAGCTACTGACCTCCTCTGTATTCCATTTTTCTCATATGTAAAATGAGGGGTTTGGAGCCACTTGGAGGTTCCTTCTAGCTCTAAATCTCTTAAGTTTTTGATCACTCCTCTCTATGATGTAGATCACAACCCATTCAGACCATCTCATTTTTTTCAATTCTCGTTCATGTCCTCCCACAAATCCTTTACAAAAAGGATCTCTCCAACAGGTGGAGGTTTTTTTTTTTTATAGGTCTTTCCCACTATCTATGGGTACCAATGCAGTGTCTTGGATATCCATTGGTTTGTTTCCTACTTTCCCTACATGCTGCCCCACCTCATTTCCTGGTAATAAAGTTTCAGGATGATATCTTTTATGGCACATATGAATGTAAGTTAAGAGGTATGAATCTTGCAGGCCTTGGAGTAAGTGGTGAGCAATACTCCTGAGGGCAGCCAGAATCAATTAAAGTGCAATAAGGAAATCATACCTTTGATAGTTAATTTGTGGTTTTCTAAGTCAAAATGTGGCTGCAGCGATCCATTTCTATTTGAGTTTGATAGCATTGATGACCATATGACACATCTTCTTTATATGCATATGTCCTTCTTTATACCCACCATGTGTTTCACCCACACCCACCACCTGTTGAGTCACTCAAAATTTTGATTGTTTGCTGATGACCGTGTTCCATTATTCATAGCTATGTATCATCAGGAAAAGGCTGATGGTAGCAAAAAAAAAAAAAGATGGTGTGTGTGTATGTGTATGTGTACACACATGAACACTTCCTTAGGAAAGCTAAAAGTGCTGTGTGATGGAATCCTGTTCATTTCTGTACTAAACTCCTTCTTTTTCACCTATAGTGCCTAACCCAGATTTGTGACATGATGGACTAACTCAAGAGACACTACAATCATTCATTTTAACCTGGCTGCACTACTTGGGGATTTCTCTAACTTCTACACAATGCCCCAGGAAGCTCATTACTGAGATAACCTCATCCTCCTTTAAGATCTCATCAGCCTTGGTACTCCACCTCATTACTCCCCTCTGCCTCTCACATTGGAGGGGTGTGTGTGTGTGTGTGTGTAATGAACTCTGAATATCCATTTAAGGAGGGAGCTCAGCTCTGATAGTGTCTCATTTCTCACCTAGCTACACCACGTTGAGTCTTCCCTTACTTTTCCACCATCCACCATGCCCTTTTCAGCTTCCTTTTTATATTATCTTCTCCCATTAGATTGGAAGCTCCTTGAGGGCAGGGACTGTTTCTTTTCTGTGTGTATTTGTATCCATTGTGCTTAGCACACTGCCTGGCACATAGTATGTGCTTAATAAATGCTGATTGATTGAGAAAGAAAGCAGATTCCATCGTGACACTTTTTAAATTGTTCAAGTGCTGATGGTGTAATGTGAAGGCCACACCTCACCTTTGTACTTTTTGAAGCAAACAAGGCACTTGTTGCTTTAGTTACCGTTTTCCCCAGCATAACCATGATTAAAGCCTTGGCTATTGACATGGGACACTGAGTCAATACTTGTCCCATGGAAGAAGCTTCTTTTATTATTTGTGTTTGTTCTGGTTATCCATTAATGTTATCTTTGTCTCATTCAAATTCCAAAGGCTTCTGTTCTGTATCCTCTGAATCTACAAATCACAAAAGGAAAATCTCTTTGGAAATGAGTATGGTTTTAGGCATGATTTGAATACTTGTGGAAGTGAATTTAAAAATCAGCAATCCATAGGAAACCATTTTAGAGTTTGTGTAAGGCAGTTTTCCTTTGAACATAAAATAATGAACATCAAGTTCAGTGCTATCTATTTTGTTTTCCAGATATATGCTTGTTTTCAGACAACTTTCCAAACCTAGAGTTTTGTAACATTATGATTTGAAAAGAAATATTTCCTAATTTGGTAACTTTCTTGAAATTTTGTTTTGTTTTGAATTGCACATCTAATGTCTTTAGTATAGGGTGCTCCTGGTCTATGGATGGGCAACTGCTTGGAAACACAAAGCTGTAGAGAGTTGCTTGGAGCCCTGAAAGGTTAAATGACTTGCCTGGTGTTACACAGTCAATAGTTGTGAGAGGCTCAGCTTGAAACAAAGACTTCTCAACTCCAAAGCAAGCTATCTATGCATTATACCACAGTCTCTCTTGTTGTAATTTTCAATATACTAAGTAAGAGGGTGTGTCTACTACACAAACTGTCGAATGATAAAGTTGAATAGTTTTTTAGCTCATTTCTAATAGCTGTTATTTGCTAAAGTTTGGGAAAAGTTATTTCTTTCCCCCCAGCCCCTTAAAACACACACACAGGCACACAGACACAGACACATACACACACATACACATACACACACACACACACAGAGACATATAATCACTGTGCTCAAAAAGCTCAAGAACAAATGTTGAACACTGTCCTAATCTGCAAAAGCCTTTTTATTTTATTTTATTTTTAATATGAATGGTATTTTATTTTTCCAATTACATACAAAGACAATTCTCAACATTCATTTTTTATAAGATTTTTGAGTTCCAAATTGTCCTCCCTCCCTATATCCTCTCTTCCCACCCTCCTCCCTAAGATGGCAAGCAATCTCATATAGATTATACATGTGAAATTATATAAAACATATTTCCACTGCAAATGCCTTTTTAAAACACAGTTTGGTCTAGGTCCATGA